ACTTTAGCCCTTACGAATAAACCTGCATGTGTTTTCTAAAATAAAAACACAAATAAGCTAATGCTCTCCGAAAATACTCATTAAAAAAATAAGCTTCGGGAAGCTTGGTTGTCGAGCCACCAATTATTATCTGTGGTATTGAATTTTGATTATAGACTGAGGTTAATTTTAAACTTTCGTGTTTAATATACATTATTTAATTATTAACCGGGTCTTAACACGAATAATTTTGTGGCAAATAAGGGTATTTACTTATCTTGACGTTTCTCACGTTACCTCAGTCAGCTCATGACCACGGCTAGTGCAACCTAGTCGAAACCTTTATTTGCCATAACATTATTCGTGTTAAGACTCGGTAAATAATTTAAATAATATAGATTGAGGTATAGTAATTTCCATACACGCAGTCATTCAAGTCATTCAACAACTTATAATTATAATATAACCAGAGTTTTAGAAATTTCATCACCCGTTGTCAGATTCCAAGTTATCATTGGATGGGTGAGTCCAATTAGGGGCGCACACCCCTGCTACCACCTGCAACTGCCTGCCACCGCCCTGACATATACAGAGACAATTAATTTGAGAAATGTCAGTTTAGCACTCGAAAAGTCATTTAAACTTTCTTATAACAAAATTAAACGGAAATGGATACGTAGTATTTTGAAAAAAAAAACATGTAACTTGATATATCTACCAGTCGATTTTTCTTAAAACTAATTTCGATAATGATTATATGTTTTCACGATTATATTGTATTAAATTTGAGAATAGAATAGAACATTCTTTATGTAAACAAACTTCTTTTATCAATTTACCGCTCATTCGGAAAGCACTCTCTGCACAAGGAGTACGAGAAAGAAACCTGCGTGTTATTTAAACTTAAAAATGTAAAACAACGATAATGTTGTTTTACATTTTTAAGTTTAAATATCTAATACTAATTAGCACTAATTCATATGAGTCAAAATATTAATACACAATCAACTGGTTTGATTCGATCTGCGTAGAGCCGATCGTCCGAGATATTTTTAGGAAAGGCCTTTGTTCAACAGTAGACGTCTTCCGGGATGAAATGATGATGATGATGAATCAACTGGTTAAGTAACTAAATAAGAGTCGTAGTGATTATAATATACACTCACAACGTATTAATTCCATATTTCATGTTCAAGGAAAGAAGTAACTGAGATTATTATCAATTTATTTATTTCTTTTATGTAGTCTTGAAGACTTTAAATAAACATTAGGTACATTAATTGGATTGATATTGAGATTACAGTGTAGAGTAGACTTGTAGATGAATTCTTGCCAGTTCGCATCCAGGTAAATTAAACGGTGGGATTAAAAGTGGGGAAAACATTAGTGTCTCTAATCTGTCATAACTCCGCTCCTATCGCTGATATAACGCTTGAAACTGGAATAAAGCTTACAAAACAAACTGCTAAGCACCCGCCCCATAACTCGTATCAAATAGAGAGGATTATGTTTGTTTCTGAGCCGATCAATTTAAAATAAGCTGTATTGGTTTAGAATGCATTCGATCCCAACTAGAAAAGTCATAAAACAACATCATTCAGTTTACTTATTGTATTAACCTGCACAGTCTCTTGGTATAAGTTGGCTTTCTTTTATAAGTACAAATTTTCTAAATTTCAAATGAATTGAATGTTATATAAGTATATTATTTTCTGGCATATTTGTATTTTTTTCATTGAACCAATATTCATGAATTTTGCCGTAGAGACATATTCCGTACACTCATTCTTATTTTTTTTATTCTTCTTTTTTTAACAAAATGTACAAATATGCCAGAAATATTATTAAACACATAATTATACACTTATCCTCCTACTTTTGTCTTTTATACACAAAATATTTAATTTATAGCACAGAAAACCTATTCATATTGAAGTTGGTTAAAAAGAAAGTAAGAATTATAAGAAATTTTCACTTAGCTGGCTTACTAATTGAGACATTGCATAAAAAGCATGCTCATTAGCATAATTGTTAGTTTACAAGTAGACGCAATGAACGCGTCGTTAAAATATAATGGCAGAATAGCAGCGAACGGTGGCTACCAAATTATCTACGCCACTTGAGCGCATACAATTTATTATTGTTTGAACAGCCGATTCATATTTTCGCTGTGATTGTTCTCTCTATTTATAAAAGAAAGGGAGGTAATAGAAATGGAATTGATCTTTATTCAAATAAATTCAATACAACATTTGAATAGTCATTTTTTAAATTCTACCACTTATTCGGAACGCTGACTCGTCACAAGAAACTTGTGTGTTGTTCTTTTGAATAAATGTTATATTAAATAAATATATATCTATATAGTAACAAGGACCTAGTCGTAAGAGGCATGCGATAATGAACATAGAAACCGCTACGTCTCATTCTTAATGCAATCAGATATTGTCAGCACAATGAATTAAAAGTTTTTCTACATTAAAAATATTTAGTATTATTTACATAGTCTACAATTTTATAATATGCATTTATACAAAAGAAGTTTTTTATACGACATCTGAATCTTTTTCAGTCATTTACAGGGTTCCGAATGGTTAAACTCAACGATACGCAGAGTCAGTACTTACGAGTAGTTTATTTCTTTTCTGCTTTCATCCCACATTTCGACGCCACAAACTTTTTTAACGACACGATAAAGTCGTAAATAAACTTTGTTTCCACTAGTCACATAATATAAGAGCACATGGAAGAAAATAAGAAGGAGTGAAATGTCGCAGTTGCCGGATTTATGAGAGGGACATCATCGTCTGTCTCTACGGCAAAATTCATAAATATTGGTTCAGTGGTTTAGGTTGAAAAGGTAACATTAACAAATATAGTTTCGCATTTATAACACTAGCCATTATACTCGTGATTTTGAATGAGAAACCTACCGTTTTCTTATGTTTACTTTCTCAATCCATCCAATGTAGTCGAAAGAGATTGTTAAGACCGCCTTTTGTATAAGTTTATATAAAGAGTTTTTTTTTTATAACACATGGGACAAACGAGCATGCGGCTCACCTGATGGTAAGTGATTACCGCCGCCCATGAGCACCCGCAACACCAGGGGAATTGCAAGTACGTTGTCGGCCTTTTAAAAAGGAATAAGCTCTTTTCTTGAAGGTTTCAATATCGTATCGGTCCAGACATACCATTGCTGGAAGGTGATTCCACAATGTGGTTGTGCAAGGCAAAAAGTTTCTAGAAAACCGCACTGTGGAAGACTACCATTCATCCAGATGATCAGGATGGTATTTCAGTTTCTGGCGGGTGGTACGGTGGTGAAACTCAGCACCTGGTATTAATCCGAACAATTCCTCAGAACACTCCCCGTGATATATGCGGTAGAAAATAAAGAGTATAAATAAATAAAAGACACCTCGATGACGACATCGACGATGGTATGATGACTTCTGTTACTGTCTTCACACAAACTTTTAGATCGTCTGGTCGATAAGTCGTGAGAAGGTAAAAAACAGCATCACAGAATTACGCAATTATAATACCTCTCAGATCGATCCCCCGTCTAATTCAAACGGGTATCAATATTTCGACAGCCTGACCGACGCGGCGACGGCGACGGTTCGAGCCCCCAGCGGTGCCCTCAGACTAAAGTCGTATCCGACAGGCAGGACTCGGCCGTCAGCCGCTACATAAATCCTTCGCGGGTTAGGAATGTCTTTTAGGTGTGTAAAGGCAAACTCCCTGACCGGAATTCACCATTACAACTTTAGGATAGTTTGAAAATAAAATTTTTGCCAGTATATATATCAGAATTAGGTAAATAGTAAAAATAAAAATGTGTAATTAATTGCGCATATAAAGTAATATTTCTTACCACTAATCAATTTCCTAAAGTATATCATACACATCACAAAGCAATGTGATCGTGTACGATTAAAAATTGAAATAGAAATATATTTATTAATCTAAGTAATAATAAAAATGCTTTTTTTATTAATCATTTATTTATATTGAATAGAGTGCAGGTTATATTGGATACAATGTAGGTAATTACGTACCTATATTACAATTACTTTTACAACTAGTAATACTTTAAGCATTAGGTAATTATACCATTTAATATCACATAGATAGAAATAAAATTATAAAATTCTTAATAATTAAAGAGATCCCTTATTTAAGTCTATTAGATAAATACAGGTTAAATAGTGTACACATATGTAAATAGCATTAAAATCTAATGATTACAACTATTATTTAAGATATAACACATACGAGTTATTTATACTAAGGATATAAGTTTTTTATACTAAAGAGTAAAATATACAAGACTATCAGGCCTACTGTTTTGTATAGATACAGTGTTGGCCATATAGGTAATAGATGAAAGACAATTGAATACAACTGAATTGTGACTTAAGATTGAGATGTCTGGTGGGATAAGAATGGACTAGACAATGACTGAACCATCATACATTAAACTAGCACCAGTGTCGAAGTTGAAGAGTAATCGTTTATCTTAATATAAGCGTGCAAGGGCAGGATTGAAGAGAACATTTTAAAACATATGTTTAAGTGGGAATGTAGATTATAAGGGTAGACCAAGGGTAAAAAAGAGATGGAAGGACTATGTGAAAGATAATACAACAAGAGAGGCAGTGAATAATGAGATAAATGGAATAGACAGAGATGAATGGAAGCGAAAAATACCATACCTATACGTTAAACCTAGTTAGTTTTTAAATAGTCAATGAATTGCTGACTATTATATATATATCAGACTTATTACTTATATAATACTTACTAGCTACTCGCCCCGGCTTCGCACGGGTGTACATGTATTATACATATAACTTCCTACCTTCCTCCAGAATCACTATATCTATTTAAAAATACCGCTTCAAAATCCGTTGCATAGTTTTAAAGATAACATGCATAGGTACAGACAGAGACAGCTACATTATTTTTTACTATGTAATAATAATAATGATATACAAGATAATTAAGACACACAATACACAAATGATAAAATCAAAGTATTATCGACGTATCTGAATTCGTACCAAATCAGCAAACTATATCGTTTAGATATTATCACACATATATTAACTCATCGATGCTGCAATGTTTTATTATTCACAACAGCAAGCTGTAACTACTTGCCACTTATTAAATATCAATGTCTCTTATAAACTTTCTTATTAAACAAGTATCTCGATCCTCAGGATCAAGACAACTGTTATGCTATTCATCCATAGGGCCCGTATCTTCCTCTTCCCCGATTTGAAGGATTGCCTTCTGGATAATTCTCTTCAGTCGCTTTCGGGACTCGTCAGAGCGAAGTATACGGAGTTCTGATGCTACAAAATCTCCAAATATCTAAGAAAGAGAAGAATATTTAATATTGCTATGTACTTGAATAATGTTGCATAAATAATAACGTCGTTGTTAATTTTAAAGTATCCATGAAACATGACAATTACTTCACTTATAGATTTCATTTAATATTTTAGTTACGCTCTTTAAATAATAGTTTAGCGTTGCAAATATTACGGAATTATACCGCAGCACAACATTAAAAAATATATAATCATCGCCTAAGAATATTTTTTTTTATAATTTATTATTATATTTAGTTTTTGAGAATTATTACAGCTATGTATTAACAAAAATTACAAAAAGGACATTATTGACATTGTCAATATAAATCATATGACTTACCTGACATTCATCTGCATTGATTCCAGGTCGGAGTCTGGGTACGGGCTCCTCTGGCCACATCAGAGGGTGTGCACTGGGCGGGAGCGGCGGAGGTATCGATGCCGGCACCCTGGACTGCTTGCCAACTGCCCGGATCGTCAACGTCGGGGTAGTGGACTCAGCCTTTTTTAGGGCCCGAGCTGCGATACCAAATTCTTCTTCTTCATTCGCTTGAAACTCCGCCAGCTGGATGAACAAAATCTGCTATTAAAATTATTTCTTATGTAATAGCCATTACCCGCAATTTCGTCTGCACAAAATATTAATCTCTCTCTTAATTAATTTTCTTTCAAATTCTTTTTAAAAACAAACAATTTGCCAATATCCGTCTTCTTAATATAATCTCTTTTCTTATTCAATTTCTTTTGAATCCGTCCATCCATTTAGTCGTATAAAACTAACAATAATTAGGCATAGGCCGTTTATAATATGGACCAACGTCATAGCGACTAGCTAAAATATAAAATAATATTATTCACAATTTAAGTTTTTGATACTGGAATGAAGGTCGTACAATACAAACATAAGTATTAAGTAAATATCAAAAACACTTTTATTCATAGAATAATAGAAACTGATTGTTTCGAGGGTTTTCTCATTCCTACTACAAGTCAAACAATGCACTATTTAGCTCTGCACTGCTCAAAAATGTACTACTTAATGTTTATATGGTGTTAAGAGTAATAAATTAGTTGTAATGAATTACACAATTATTCTACTGTAAGTAGATCTACAGATTCGGTACAATAAATAACATCTTAATATATTGTAGTCATTCGTAACAACAAAACGGTATATTTATAAAAACAAACAACAATTACGGATGCAAGATAACTAAAATTAATAGTCTCATGTGACTGACACATGACTAGACCTATTAAAATAATAATATTTCTTCATTCCTCTCATAAAATAACAAAAGAACAAATATAAAAACAGAGTAGATATGTTAGGTACTGTATTTATTACAAAAGGCAGACGCTATAAGTAATTTCTTACAGACAACCTAGTAGAAAGTATCGTATATGTAAAACCAAATTCTGTATATAATACCAAATTATCTGATCCGACAGTGGTGAACGAATCAGTTTGTGTGTCTTCTTCAAACTTCATAATAAAGGAACTCAAAACCGCGCCCCCGGATGTTTCCGGAATTTCGATTTCACATTCCGATGGTATTTCCTCGTCGGTCGATTCAAAATTCTCCGCTGCTTTTCTGGCCGCCCTGCGTTTTCGTTCATATACTTTCCACTTCTTCCGTTGATTTCTCTTTTGAGCTGGTGTCATCTCGTTTATGGTCAGTCTTTTCTTTTCCGCTCTTTGTTTTAAATATTTCTGTCTTTCTTTTATTCTTTGTAATTCGTATCTGTGTGGGTCGCTCTTTATCAGAGCATATCTTTTCCGTTCTGCCAATCGTTTTTTAAGTAGTCTCTCTTCAACGCTTTGTTTTGATTTTCGATACATTATTAAAATCTAAAAGAAAAAAATCTGTATGTACTAAAATTAATAATGTAAAGTAAGAGAAGCAATTACGATACCTTTATAAGAGTACTAATTTAAGTACGAGTAATTTCTAAAAGAGTGCATGTAGGTAGGTACTAGTTTAAAGAGCGCTTTAAAATTATTTATCTTTGGTTTCGGACGTGTTTTATTTAGATAGTATATTGGCGACGAGGATGGAATGAAACTCGTATCAATATTTAAACAGAATTGTGGAAGATCTTGGGAAGTGGCAAGAGCTCCACATTATAAATGAATGAATTATTAAAATATTATAATTTTTTATTATCCCGGCTATATGGTAGCTAATACAGATGTCAATTCAAAATAGCAGTGAATAACTATGACCGTTGAACACGAGTTTATCACGGATATAAAATATTCAAGTCTGTTTGATTCCGGTTCCTCAATATTCAATTGACACTACTGTATTCTGTTAACCTGATAAATACTCAATTTTAACCGATTTCAAAAAAGAGGCAATTCTATCTAATAGCTACCTACGTATGTTTACATATATCTAAATTAGTATTTTTGTCACTATTGGACCAATTTTTTATGCTTCAAAAAATCACTTTTTCCAAGAATCCAATTTAATCAATACAGCCATTTTTGCGTCATACTACGTCATACAAATATTCAAATAGAAAAGTTGTTGTTTGTGTTAATGCCTAAATTATTAATGTCGGCCGGGTCCAAAGCACAACTAATAGTCATTTTCGTATCTATTACCATAATGTCTTAATTTGAATATAGATAAATGACAGGGGAATGTTGTTTCAACAACTTTGTATATTTAATAAAACGAAATTTAATAGTTTTCAAACAATGTTTTAAATAGAATTCACATTTTGTCTTGTGACATCGCTACATTAAAATACATTTGTATAGTTTTTATTCGTCAATAGCGTTATTTTCAGAAGTAGTAATAGTTTGATATTTTGTCTGTCATTTGAATACAGTTTTTTATAGAATCTACAAATAAACAATTAAATGTTATTCATAAAACGCGAATAGCGTATTAAATGTGTGAATTTAAATGTCATTATTATCATATTGCTCATATGTCACCATAATAATATAAATAATTATTCATAAGCACGGTGATTTTATAAATAGAGTTATATAATTTTACTCAACAAGTTTCCGCTAGGCCGGATAGAAATGATGAGAATCGTTTATTACAAACAAGAGGATCGACTACTGTAAGCTACACAGCTGCGGCCGGCACCCGCAGCGCCGGGCCACAGACAAATAACGCGCAATACATACGAACAGTGCTGTTTACCAAGGTCATTAATCTCGATATATTTAGTCCACATACAGCAATAAATACTTCTAAAATACATCACTATAATACAACAAAACTTTAAAATAACATACCTGTTTTAAATTTCGTCCAATTTTGCAAAATATCTCGATGTAAAACACGACATTCCACTCGCCTGGCGCGCTCGTTACTAACATTCGCTGGCTGACACTTTAAAATACAGATAGCAAAAGAAATTTCTCTGGCTCACCTGGCTTAATTTTATTTACATTTCTGTAGTGAAAAGTTTGTTTTCTTTTATAAGTATAATTTATTAATATTAAATTAAAATAATGGGTAGAAAAATATTTAACCGCATTTTGCTTTGATATCTAATAATAAAAAAGTTATTGAATTAAAATAATATACACGTACCGCTAAATTTACTCCACCAACTTGTTCGAAAGGATCGCTAGAGGGCGGTGGTATAAGGAAGGAGAGAGCATCGAAGTACTCCCAGCCACTCCCCCCCTGCAAACTCCCTTCTCCCGTAAATGACGTCGATTGCCGCCTTTTTATTTTCCTTAATTCGTTGTTCAATTGCGTTCGCAAATTGTGTATTTTTCTTGAAATTTCTTCGACGGTCGTACCAAACATATTAGCCAAATACTGATGCTTAGCGTTCCTTGCATTCCGATCTCTATTTAACATGTTTTTACAATCCCAGAGTTCTTGACACTCCTTCTCCAATGTTTCTATAAGTTTCAACGTATTTTCCGTAGTCCACAACATTTTACTTCCATTACTATCTTTTCTACCCTCATTATCTGACTCTTCCTCTTTTATTTTTGGCCAATACATTTCGCAGGAGTTTGAATTATTCGAATTGCTATCCATTTTGTTGAAAAATGACGTTAGAGTATTGAAAGCGCTCTAGCGAGACTGCGGGCAGGGGCCGAGAGCAGCGAAACCGGTGTCTGGCGGAGCGGCAACAGTGTAGCGTGGCACAATATGCTGCGCGGGGCGCGGTGTTGCCACGCCGATGTGATAGCGCGTGCACGGCGTTGCAATGCGCTAACTTCAAGGCGCTAAAAAGACTAAACGGGTGAACCATATAATCACATTAACTCTCATTAGCAAGGAGGTTTGCATCGTAACAAAGAATCCTTTGTGTATTGTTTACAATGCTATACTATACCGTAAGACTGGCAACGCCTCTATTTATCAGTAAAATAACAATTTATCTTAAGAAATATTATAAAAGAAGCTCTTAAAAGTCATTTCATCATCTGTAATTGACAAAAACAAAACAAATTCCTACTAAAAACCGCACTATCACATTGATATCATATTATATTTTTATGGATCTGTACCAACTACCAACACACTGTAATAAAATCTCTTTGATCTTAGAATATTCTTTGTTTTCCATTTATTGATCCGCATTGATATGTAGGTATCAATACGGATCAATAAATGAAATATACGTAGGTAGGTATACCTATATATAATAAATAGAATGAATAGTATATTACAAAAAAATACAATTCAAAAACGTAGTTGATGTTAACAAATATAATAATATCATATTGGAATACCAACTATAAGCTTACCTAATTAAAAATACAAAATCAGAAGCTTCATAATATGAATCAGAAAATATTGAGATTACGTTTTGTTCTTGTAATGGAAAAGAAAAAGTAATTAGGTACCAAATAAAACTCAAAATTAAATTCGCATAACGTGAGCTCAGATTAATTTTAAATCTGCACATACAAGGGAGGGATTTATTTCTAAAGTTGTCATTTATTTTGATTAAATACAAAATGTGTAGGTATTATCAGATTTATTATTTTTAACTAGTTAACTATTTTATTTTTAATTATTATTTACAACTATATGAGCCCGCCATTTCGAGTTTGACTTATATTCTTTGTTAAATTTGACGCATTTATTTATCATCTACCGGCTACTCTTCAGTTTACCAATCACCATAGAGGTTATAAGTCTGCCAAAAAATCTGGAACTCACAAAACGTGATGCTGAACTCTGATCTGAGATTTTCTTAAATATTCGGCCAAAAAATTCATCCAGCCGTTTTATATGAAATCTTTAATACAGAAACAGATAATTTCGTCCTGTCATAAATTTACGATTTCACGTAAAGATGTTTCTAATTTTTTTTTATAATTAAAAATATTATTTAATACTGATTCTAATATTCATAGTAGAGAAAAATGGGCAAGCACCTTTATCCCCGTGATGACGCTCATGCGTTGCCACATGAGCGTCATCACGGGTGTCAAATGATAACGTATTGTCCGTAGTGCTGTTCATGTAGTTACCGTTTACCTTCAGGTCGGTGGTAAACTTGTTTGCTATTCCAATTGTATTATAAAAATTATGTAAACTGAAACTATTATTTGACACTGACGCATTAAATCAATAAGTCCCCGTATTGATATAATGTGTCAGTGTCAAATAATAAAGTTTTTTTGGATTAGATTAAAAAAAAATGTAAAATGTTACCATTACTTCTTAAAGATGGTCAAGTCACCACGAAGCCTCTAGCAAATTGTTTCAACGATTGGGTTTCGAGTTTTGTGTTTAAACTTATAATGACTAATTTCGTTCTTGGTGTAGACTGTGTACAAATGAAATAAAGTTTTAAAGAACATTTTTTTTATATTATGTATTTCTTTGTTGATTATTCAGACGGTTGTGAGTGCTCATCGCCCGTACCTTTTACTACTACATGCTATTCCGTTACTTACTACTTTACTAATCCGACTACTTGATATATTTTTTTACGACAACAACAGTATGTTTATACTTACGAGTGAGCAATTAAATGACAAATAAATACACGCCCTTTGTGAGACCGCTGCTGTTTACGACGTATCTGTTAGGGCTGACACTCTTCATATGATTACTATTTCATATTTTTAATATTTCGTATGCAGAAAAAACTTGTGACAGCATTCACGGAAATGAAAGGCTTATTTACAGAAGCAAAGATTTGAGATATTAAAACATATACTACCTCTATTGCCCCACTTAAATGTCCAGACAGGCGGTGGCGTGGTAGGACGGATAATTGGGCTTCCTAAAATATGGTTGGTTACCCGTTATCCTCGTGAACGGCTGCTTGTAAGGACTACTTACCATCCGGTACCCGTCAACTTGTTGACCATTCGAATAAAAGAAAATAGTATTATACTGAATTGCGTTGACAACCCTACAGACAGGTTTCACTTTGACGTATATTATCGAAATGAGACCTCACGCACGCGCGATGACGGCGCTTTGATCATCAACTGGCATTCCATACTTTATAATGTGCGCCCCTCGCAATAAATCTAGTGTTGATGTTACAGGAACTGTAAACGTGACCGTCACGTTCTCGCCTGTGATCTCAGATGATGCAACTGGAATGCTTTCTCACGAATGACCATAAAATATGGGAATATCATGGCAAATTGACCATGGAATTCGTTTGATTAAAATTAATTTTACTTTTTATTTTTACTGTTATTATCGCGATAAATTTATGGTAGATATATATACATTGTTTATGAATGATTATAGAATTTTGCAACTGGCAGGGCACCAGTGGAGATTGATATGAAGAGCGTGAGGTCAGGTCAGGCCCATCGTGACAAAATCTAGTTTCATTCCTAGTGATGGAATAATTAGTTTACATTACTAATAATGCGTTCCCTCCCTATAGTACTAAGTACTAACATTATAAAGCTACAAGAGGTGTTTGGTTGAATGCGATAATTTCCAGAAGTAGTGAGCTTCAATTGGAAAAAAAATGATTAGTATTGGATAGACCATTTTTTTAGTAAATCATGATAAAATATAATAAAAAGGCCATGTGTTGCAGTTTTACTTATATATACCTACATATATAGGTAAATAAAATAAAAATAATAGGAATACGCAGATTTTTATAAGGTACGCTTGAAAAGAAGATGAAGTATTGTCAAAATGTACAATAAAGAATTGTAAATTCAAATACAAATTTAGAATAAAAAAATATATTTCTGATTAGCCGGTACATTATACAACATTTGGAAAATCACGCTATGATGAAAAAGAGCGGAGTATCAAGGAAGGTAATGAGAGCGATCAGCTAGTATCTTAAGTACTTACATAATGGTATTACTGACAAATCAGAAATTATATCATTATCATTGCATAGTATAAAATAAATTTGCTGTCGCTGTCTGTCCGTCCCTATGTATGTTTAAATCTTTAAAACTACGCAACTGATTTTGAAGCAGTTTTTTTAATAGATAGAGTGATTCAAGAGGAAGGTTCATATGTATAATATATGTACACCCGTGCGAAGCCGGGGTGGATAGCTAGTAATTGATAAAAACAAAGTCAATAAACTTAAGTCAATTTTTATATAGTAGGGGCTATACTGTGCAGGAAGCACCTATTTAAATATTATCTATGTTTTGTATTATCTATTATTTGATATAGAAAAACATTGTATATTGTCATTAACATTCTTTTGTTATCTAATTTTACTTTTGATTCGTACAATCATACTATTCATTCTTAAAAATCGTCTTTCCATAATTATATTTAGCAGCTTAATACAAATACAGTCCTACGCTCACACTAAATATATATATATATATATATATTACTATATATTTATCTCTATATTACTTAATAACTTCGTAGGTACTTCATACCGAGTTAGACTTTCTAAATAGTAATCGGCGTGGGTACTTTACTCTGATCGATTCAATAGCAAAGCTTTCTATAATAGTTTTAATCGGCGGCAGGATACGGGCATGACACTTCAATCTTCCCGAATGGCAACGCATAAATATCACGGGACTCACATAATCACGTGATGCTATTCATGTTTATTGCTTGATTACATTCGAATGATATATTTAAAGACAACAAATAATTTTACATACTTTGGAATTTTTTATTTTTTTCTTCAAAATACCCATGTTCTTTATGAAAGTAAGTCATCACTTGAGACATTAAAATTAAAAAATAAACTAAAATTATGCAATCGATTCAATCGATGATCGAACGATGGAATCATTCAATAAACATGAAAAAGATTTAGTATTTTTGAAACATTCATATCAAAATAATTTCTACTAATACTAGATTCATCATTCATCAATACAGATAACTAAGATATGTATAACCTTCTTGTAATTTGAATCCTTATTATAATTATCCTTTTTGACTAATGAAGGAATTATCTAGATATGTAGGTATAAGTGTAATAATATTTATGTGGGTATGTGTGTTATTTTAATGGGTGATAATGGAATAGCACACCTGCCTGCGCTAACTGTAGATAGTACATAGGTATGTAGTACCCAAGCAGTCGGAGCACTAGTGCAGAATGATAAAATGCATACAGCATGAAATCGATCAATTAGCCAATCGAGACAAATTCAGCAGGAAGTAACCACAATGATTTTTGAAGGCGACCACGTGGAGGTCGACCTGACATATACGACAGTACATTGCTAGAAATGTGGTCATTGTGAAAATGGGATCACCGTTTAAGATTTCCCTTCAGATTATTTGTTATCTGTATTTAGGTTATACAGTTGTTTATTATTTCAGGTACTGATCACTAAAAACTCTCAACGGTGATATGAAAAGCCGCAAGCATCGTATATTAATTAAAACGAGCGAACGTGAACCCAGGGCCGCACAAAGGACGGAGGGAGAGTGCAGGATTAATATCTAAATAATGAGGCCGCTCGTCGCCCCGCCCTGTACTGTCAACAAACAAAATACAACAAATATTTCTCTTTGCCTAGCCTTTTCCCATTTTATTTGTGGTCGGTCTAGTCCTTCTCTGCCGTGTACATCTGTTCTGAAGTGTCGTGTTGATTATTTCCGTTTTCTTTAGTCGTTATTGATAAGGGACAGCCAAGTTAGTAGAGGTCTTCCTCGTCT